TACAAATACAAATACAAATACAAATACAAATACAAATACAAATACAAAAATACAAACAAAAACAAATACAAAAACAAAACGAAAACGAAAACGAAAAGAAAAACACAAAACCAAATCCAAATCCAAGCGCAAACATAAACGCAAACACAAATTAAAACCCAAACACAAAGAAACACGAACGCACAGGAAAAAAGCAAACACAAACGCAAATACAATTAATAGAAATACAAACTCAAACCTAATCGTAAACAATCACTCAAAATAATACAAATAAACCCAAACATAAACGCAAACTTAAATGGAAACATAATCGGAAAGTGCTCACAGTCTAGCCCGTGGCGCCAAATTGCACCATGCTTGGGCCCCAGCTTAGAAAACGACTATAATACCCCAATTTATTCATAGTCTTTTGCACTCACTTAAACGAACGTAGGCACCATAGCGAACAAAGGAAGGCCCTGGGCCTCATATAACACCCTTTCCGGATTCAATTCAGTTAAATATTATAGTAACCTTTCTTATCCATAGTCTATCGGATTGTTTAAAACGAAATTGTGCACAGCATAACCCAGGGCGCCAAATGCACTCTGTCGGGGGGGGGGGGGGGGAGGCGGACGCGCCTGATTCAATTTAGTGAACGACTATTATATCCCAAGCTATTCCGCAAACGGAAAGATAGAAGTAAACATAGAGAACATTTCAGAGCTGGCTTCCAAACTGTAATTGCTTTTAAAAAATTAGTACACATTAGGTTCAGTGTATAAAAAAATAAAAGGCAGTATTTACAATATCTGTGTTTTTCTTACCACATTTGACTTGATCAATTCACGCTAATTATGTAATTATTTCTTTCCCAACACCAAAACAAAGTAATAAAAACAAATTTTGCCCCCGCGATGTAATGATTTTTAAAAGGGAATTAATTGTGTTTTCCTAATTTGTCAAGGGACATAATGAGTGCTAAAGGACTACACGTAAATAATTTTCAGACACAATAAGATTTTTCGTGAAGGGGGGTACATTTTCTTTAATTTTGTGTAATGCATATGCCGTCAATTAACACTATGGCAATCAGGTATCATTTTTTCCCCTATTCCTTTGTAATCACGGGTCCGCTGGCTGTGGGCGGTCACATACAGAATTCAACTTTATTTACTATGTTCTCTTCATGTCATATGCAAAATTACCAGCACCAACAAAGGCGTTGCACCTTTGATGTTACCCCTACAGCGAGAGCCTTTGAGAGGAGCGACCCGGATTACTATTCGGGTGGCTTAATCAAATCTTGGACCCTACCCTTCACAGATGCAGCCGAGTCGACAACCATCACTATCGATCGATCGGAAGAAAGTGGATCAGATCTCTTCGACAATAAATCAACATCAAAAGTAGTGATGCAAGTTACCATCAAATCCAATGGCCTGCAAAAATCTTCCCGGTCACATACTACGCAATCTAATCAACCCACATCAGATTCTGCTGCTGAACTACGGACGAGCAGATACATGGTATTTCTCGTCAGACCAGTTCAATGTATCAGATCTGTACAAAACCACCAAATAACATGGACCCTATACACTGGAGTTTTCTATACACCAGCTGGGATACAGACTGACATCCAATTAATCATCTTTTGATGTCAGACACAGGCTTGAAAAGCTGGTTCCAAATGGTTCCAGAGAGCATATTTTTCAACCAAACTAAATATATTACATTTGTGAAATAAGTACAAAACAACTTCCCGTTTTATTAAGGCTAGGAATATTCAAACAAATGATTAATAGTAATATAATAGTAATTTAGCAAACCCTTATTTTTAATATGGATTAGTAGAGTCATGGTGTTATGGTGATTGGGGATGTTATATTATTTAGTAGGCTATACACAATTTAATGTATTTTATTATGTAAAACACATTTTTGTAGCTTTCATTCTTTTGCTCTCCCTTGCCACTTCAGTTCATTTAAAGGTGTGGTTGAAATCGTTTGTTTTTTTTTCAAAAATATTTGAACGGTTTATTTTCAAATAAAAAATATGAAAATGAGAGTAATCGATAGTTCCCAAACAGCTTTAAGTTTTTAAAGTGTAATTATAATTTTATTGCTTGCCATATTTTTACAAACTTTAATTTAACTTGTTTTCTCGAAACGCCCAAGCTAAATTATGGGAACCTCTGACTAACCTGGTTCAAGACATAAAGACAATGCAACATGACATTAAATTTGACTTAATAAGTTGCCTAGTTAAAGTTTTATGAATTAATTAAAATTGTGTCCAAATTAGTAGGCTGTCTCATCAAACTATTCCGCACTATTAACCTCGCGTCATTAAAAAAACGTTTTAGTAACAGGCTTTTATGTAATAATGCAATGAAAAGTAGAAAATAAATTATTCATTACTTTTCAAAAAAGTATAAAGAAAAGCATGGTTCTCTTCCTAATTATTAGTAAAGGTATTTTATTTTCTTTTTGTATAATTTATTTTCTACTTTTTAGTGCATTATTACATAAAAGCTTGTTATTATCACGTTTTTGTTATAAAAATAAAATTTAGTTTGATTACATTGACTTTTGATTCCTATTAATCCTCTGTTACTGTCGACAAATATCCAATTAATCTACTTTTGATCTCACACAGAGTAACATTCAATTAATCGAGTATCAATATCAGCGTCTGATTGGGAGGTACTCAATGCTCACCTGTTTTGATTTATATTTTATATCTCTCACTCGCACAAAGTCACGTTTACATAACAGATTCAATAAACAAGGTAATCAAAAATTTATTATGGATTTGCATCTAGAAATCATAACGTTCATACAATTTATAATATAATAAAATGTCCTTGGAAGCTTAAGAAATGAGAAGTCCAAATAATACAGACAAAGAAGAAAACTAATAAGTTTTTAAAAGTTTACAAAATGTCATGGTACAAGTAACAGTAAAATGTCGTTTCGAACAAACTAGTTATGTAGTTGCAGGTAGAGTAGAGTTAATCTGCTTATGTGACCTCGGCGGACGTTTCAGATGGTGACCAGAAAGATGCGCAACTGAAAAAAGCGCAACGGAAAAAAGCGCAAACAGAAATTTGCGCACACAGTAAAATGCGCGAATGGAAATTTGCGAACACAGGAAAATGCGCTAATAGAAAAATGCGCACACAGAAAAATGCGCAAATAAGAAAATTATGCACACAGAAAATGACAAACCGATTTTCGTCAATTATGAATGTGACAATGTGTGTATATATATATGTGTGTATGCGTGTGTTTAAGCTTGCATAGACGTATATATTTCATTCTCATTCCTCTATATTTAAATTAAAAATGCCACCGTTCTTCCTAAAATGCATAGAAACATTAATTGCTATTAATTATTCCGATCATACATACATAGATGCTGTTGAAGGTGCTTCGACCATAGATGATTGGCACACGCGTTGTTTGACAACAGCATAGGGTTTAACACAGCCAATGTAAAAATGACTAGGCGTGGTTTGCAGGACTACGCCTACACCCACAGCTATAACGATCGTCTACTGATCGGCGAGCGGACTGAGCGACCCCTCAACACGCCTGCCTGTCTGTCTGTCTTTCCGTGCGTCCTTCAGTCCACCCATCTCTCTCTCTCTCTATTTTTCTACAGTTATAAAAAACAGTGTGGGGGAGGGAGCTGGGAGGGGGGGTGTGGAATAGAAAATGAGAGTACAAAGGAAGAGTTTGTTAACTTTATGCGTACCTAGGCCAAAATCACGAGTCTTGCAGATGGGTGATTATTTAGCAGTACAAACAACTCCCCCTCCCCCCAAGAATTGCATCACAGACTGCGGTCTTTGGTACACTGAAGCCGCGAATTAGTGGATGGTTACCTCATCCTATTTTTTTCTGATGAAAGCCTCTATAACTTCAGTTTTGTGTGTGTGTGTGTTTGTGTGTGTGTGTGTGTGTGTATGGGGTGTGGTGGGGATGGGGTCGCGGAGTACACTTTGATTTTTTAACATTTCGGGTTAGATAAAAGGGAGATAATAGAGTAAATCTTCGCGGTCACGATTGCGCAAGCTATCTCCCCTACATAAAAATCTTTTGTTAACGATAAGAAAATATTCCCACGTTTTCTTTAACTTGCTTTCGCGTCTTTCCAATCAAATCTTGCGATCGAAATTTCGGGTACTTCCCAGTTAGATAGCGCGCTGAAATTTTCAGGGAAGCTTTATTTCCGATGACCATAGAATAATCAATTGTTATTATTACTAAATTGATCCATGGAAACTTTTTATTGATCATTTTAGACCGCTATATAATTGTAAAAAAAACGTGGGGGGAAAAGGGACATAACCCAGTAATTGTAATTTGATGAAAATAAGGTTCGGTACTTTCCCTCTTTTTGCTTACTGAGTAGTTATCACGCGGTGTTTGTGTACAAACAACCAGAACGTAACAACTGCTGGCCAGTATGGGGGAGACGATATGGTCGAGTGGTTGGGCACACGATTGCTAACCCACTAGACACGGATTCAAGGCACGTGTTTTTTACGAGTTGTCTTCGTTTACCCACAAAAAAAAGTGAATGCGAAAAGATAAAATCGATAGCAAGATTTTAAAGCAAACAAACAGACAAAGACTAAAAAGTAGAAAATAATTATCATTAAAAAAGTTTTTAAAAACCCACGTTTTCTGATTGAACTAAAAAGTAGAAAATAAATGCTATACATCACAATAATGCAAGCGATCACTCTACTATAAGCGATGAAAAACGTGGGGCGCCGTGATTTTCTTACAGTTTCTAAAACTGTTGACTCTCTACAAGCTCCCTAATAAAACTCAATAGTATTATCTAATCAATAGTAATATAACTTTTACATCTTATATTAACAATGACCGATAAAAAACTTTTACTTCGGCGCCCCACGTTTTTCATCGCTTATAGTAGAGTGGTCGCTTGCATTATTGTGATGTATAGCATTTATTTTCTACTTTTTAGTTCAATCAGAAAACGTGGGTTTTTAAAACTTTTTTAATGATAATTATTTTTCTCCTCTGGTTGTTTGAGCACTTATTTCAGACTTCTAAGTGGTCTAGTCTTGCAAGCAGTCCAATGCGGACCATAGCGTTTTCTTCAATCAACGTGATTACAGCCTGGTAGATGGCGCCGCTGGGATCGGCTGAGATGATGATGTTATATCTCGTCCTGCCCTGGGCGTCAGGTCGTATCTCTCTCAACTCAATGACTTTATCCAGGTACAGATCGGCGTAAGGGTTCCTTGTCATAGTGCTGATGGACCGGTTAATCTTCGCTATCACTCGCTGGCCTAGAAAATGTACGAAATTTCTACTCAACTTGAACACCGAAGTAATGTTACAGGCGCAGTAATCAATGGGGATCAGCGCGTGCTGGCACGTGCGTCCTTCTGGAATCTCTTTGAACAAGCTGATCCTAGGCTGGGTGAGACTTCCTTTCCCGGCCTCTGCTTTAAAGTACAGCAGGTCAATCAAAGTCTCGTAGACGTCCGTGTGGGTCGTCAGACGATGTTGGTTGGTTTTCACAACTTCCATCAGCTGCGGGTATTTGGTATGGAACCAGGGTGGGAACACGAGGAACATTAAAGGCATTCGATTTTCTAGCATGCCATAGTAAGTCGTCCTGTTGAAGAAAAAAATGTGTAATAAAACTTTTAAAAACGAAATAGCTATGCTTTTAGAAAGCATACAAAAGTTTTAATAACAAGCTTTTCTGTAAAAATATACTAACAAGGAGAAAACAAATGATTAAAAAATATTATAATTAACTGTTATTTAAATAACTGATAAGAAAAGCGCGAGGCCACTGCTGACACCCTGAGGAACTCTAAATATATGACGCCCCACCTGTCAGTGTTACCCTACCCCAGTTACACACCCACCGAGTATCATGACTATTAACGCCCCACTGAGAGACGCAATCTCTCGCTCCCAATGACACAACCACCGAGAAAAGTGACAGAAAACGCCCCCCTGAGTAACACCCCTCTAATTGACACCCCACCGATGACACCCCACCGAGTGACGCCACTATCATAAAAGAACATTTAACTTGCAACCTTACCTTACACTTCCACGCTTCGGCCCGTGGTCACTGAAGAAGACAAGCACCGTGTTGTTTAGAACTTTCTTGTCCACCAAAGTTTGTAAAAATTGGAAATAATGTTCATCAATTGCGCTTGCTTTATTCTCATAGTCATGCGTGGACCGTGTACTCAAACTGGTGAAATACAAATGAACATTGATTTTGTCAAATTCAATTTATATCGACGAGTTGAAATAAAACTAAATGAACATTGATTTTGTCAAATTTAATTTATATCGACGAGTTGAAATAAAACTAAATGAACATTGATTTTGTCAAATTTAATTAATATCGACGAGTTGCAATAAAACTGAAATTAACATTGATTTTGTCAAATTTAATTTATATCGACGAGTTGAAATAAAACTAAAATGAACATTCATTTTGTCAAATTTAATGTATATCGACGAGTTGCAATAAAACTGAAATGAACATTGATTTTGTCAAATTTAATTTATATCGAGAAGTTGAAATAAAACTAAATGAACATTGATTTTGTCAAATTTAATTTATATCGACGTGTTGATCTAGAATTTATCACTAGTCCTAATTTTAACGATAATTAGAATCGAATATTTTTGTTTGCTTTTTAATTCATCCTAAATACTCTAAGTCTTTTGCAGTGAGATATCTGTGTAACATATTTTGTCTCCGACAATATATCCATGATATATTTTGCCCTTATATATTTGGTCCTGTTATATTTTGTGCATGAAATATTTTGTCTGAGATATGATACTTTTTTTCCTGGTGTATTTTGTCCTGTCACCCTGTGATAGTAAATTAAGCGCTTGGTCGGGTCGGTAAACTGTAAAGCTCCGAGTTCAAGCCCCCGGTTGATGGGGCACAATAGCTGGGAAAAGCAACCCATCAAGGAAAGACAACTCCACAATCAACTGCTGCCTCCTCGTTTGTTCTCTGATGGAAGCAGGCTATGGAAGCTTATCCAGAAAGAAAAGCAGGCTGAAATCGGAGTTATCGGTAAGTATGGTGCGTAACAAAATGACACGTTGTACATAATAGACATGAAAAGCTGGTTTCAAATGGTTCCAAATTTTTGTTGCCAGAAAGCAAATTCTCCAACCAAAATAGAATATTTTGTAACATTTGTGTACTAAGTACGAAATTACTTCCGGTTTCATTAAGGGTAGAAATAGTCAAAGAAAAATTACTAAAACTATAGTAGAAATTTAGCAAACACTTTTAGCTCACACATACAGGTTAAAATATATTTCGTCAAGGTACGTAGCGTTGTTACTCACCTGTACAGAAAGTACGGCTCTGTTTTGGAGTTGTTGAACAAAGTCGCTAGCTGGACCCAGTAGTCGGTCAGAAGGCGAATCTCTGGGATGTCACCGATACAGTTGCTGTTGTTTCTCATCAAACTGTCGGTCTCAGAGTCTAGGATTACCTCCCGCAAGTAATAATCAACCGGTGGTTTTTCCCAACCGTATTTTGAATAGTGAAATCCGGTTACTTCTACTCTATCTAAAAACATTCCGGTTCTGTAACCGGCTTTACGGTAAGCACTCCAAAGAAAAGCATCGTTTACTATATCAAGAGGCCTCAAATCTGAATACCCAAGATTAGCTAGCGATTCTTCATTCATTCCGGTAAGTAGACCAACCACGTTAGGGAACGTGTTGTGGCCGAATTTATTATGTTTGTACAACTCAACAGCTTTCATAGTTTCTAGAAGAAAGTTTCTCGTCTTCGGCATGGCACGCTGGAAATTGTTTTTGGATATGGCATCAATCCCCACCATCATGACGCTCAAAGTTTCTTTGGGTGCGTGGAGCTCAACGTGTGCCTCATACTTGGCTTTTAATTCAGACTCGAGGTTCGGTTTTTTACGGATAAATGTCAAGTACGATCTGGATATAACATCGTCGGTGTTATTGTAACACTCAACAACGACATAGCTGTGGGTGACGTTGATGGAGTTTGTAAAAATAGGGCCGGTGAAAACGGTTTGCATTTCTTTGTCGAAAACGTCCCGAACCCTAGCCTGATACTGGCAATATTTGAAGGTAGATCTGAGGTATGGGATGCTCCGGATTTTGGTGTGGTTGACGGTTATCGTGTCGCCTTGTGCGTAGACCAGATGTGGCGTCTGATTAGAGCAGTCGATGGTTGGGAATTTTTTGCTGAATCTCTTCAGGATTTTGTTGAAAGGGTCAAAGGTTGGGAAGTCGCAACCCGTGTTGGTTTGGTTGACGATGGGTCCAGACTGGGGGATATTCGATGCAAACGTTGATTGATTAGACTGGGATCCTGTGGATAAACTTCCATCGTTTACTCGTTGAGCTGGTTTCTGCCTTTTTGATTCAGGGTTCACGGAGATTGCTTGAGTCAGCTGACTCGCGTTGGACGAACCTTCTAAACCAGATGACCGTTGTCCGGTTTGCGAAGTTAAATTTTGATTTATCAACACGTCAGATGGCCGTATTTGGGAACTTGTTTTCGGAACGTCGGAATCCTTTTTAGATTTCATGGGGCCCAACTTGGAACAGCTGACGTAGACATTAGAAGTTATAAAAATGAGACCGAGCCAGAAAAATGGCGATTTAAAAAATTGTTTTGTCATTGTAGCGGCTTGGTACCTGCATGTATTAAAAAATAACCAATAAAGGTCATTTTACTATTTTACCTCAATTTAATTCAAAGTACAACGTATCAGAAACATGATATAGTCAATCTTTTATTAGAGATTAATTTGTAGACATACACTTTTTCTTAATCCCTCTCCCTCTCCCTCTCTTTCTCTCTCTCTCTCTATTTCTCTCTTTCTCTCTCTCTCTCTTTCTCTCTCCTTCTCTCTCTTTCTCTATTTGTATGGATATATATATATATATATATATATATATATATATATATATATATATATATATATATATATATATATATATATATATATATATATATATATACGGTTATGCGATGGTTGTTTTTATGTATCCGTTTGTTCTTTTAAAAAATGTAACTTAGAATCATTATTTTCTCTTATCGGAAGGACCGTTTGATCAGACTCAAGCTCCGATATTGCATTAATATTAAGGTGGTATTAAAGACAACAATTGTAGTGTATAACATTTGAAACTGCAGTGACTGTATATAGCACGTAAGATAAGCAACAAAATGTTGTCATATCAATTACAGGTTTTCGTGAAGATCGGATTATAATGACCAATAAAAGCATGATGTCAACTGCTTTCGGTCGATAGAGCGACACCATAAAACATTAACTGATAGTTTTCGGTCGATACAGCGACCTATAAAACTGTAGCTGACAGTTGTTTTTGGAATATAGGGCGACCAATCAAACCATAACTTAGACAATGTGTGGGTCAATGACAGACACCCTGTGCTATTGAAGGGTCTGACACTGACGGTTTAACGAGTAAGTGAGGTATTGCCGTGACAAGCTGGTCTCAGATAAGAAGGTTTAGCTGACTGAGTAAATGACGTGGTTTGTCTGTAGAGAAGGTAAGCGGTTGTACGGATATTTGTCTGCTTAGTGGGCTTGTCTAGTCACCTTGTCCAGTCACCTTGTCCAGTCACCTATTCAAGGTCAACTTGACTTCAACACAAGACTTTAAACACGCACCCTTACAATGGGAAGATGGGATAGGGTGATATTAGGCATATATATATATATATATATATATATATATATATATATATATATATATATATATATATATATATATATATATATATAAGAAAAAATATGGTGCCATAGTGTACTCGACCACTGGATGATTGTACATTTGATATCTAAGCACACAGGAAAGCCAGACGTTGCCCAGGCATCAGCCCCCCCCCCCTTTCTCCACACATCTGATAGACCCGAGGAACAAGACGTTACCTACTCTCTCTCTCTTTATATATATACTAGTGTACCCGTACCCGCGCGTTGCCGCGGGGATAGAAGTAAGTCTGACGTAATATATAAGTCGGGTTTCATCAATGCGTTACCAATTGTATGTTCTTAAACGCGAAACCTTTTTTTTCTAAAACTGAGTAATTTAAATGTAAACAATGCCTGCGCTTGGATCATAATTATCGGGACACGGGTTTACCTACACTACTGCGTGTAAACCTTGACTGTACGTTAATCACTCGGCGAAATAATGAGGTAGAAAACACTTCGGTGATCACCCATGTGTCAAGGACGTAGAGGGGCGCTCTCGGGAGCCCCCACTTACACTACCGCAGAAGTGCTAACATCGTGCTCCATCGTGCTCCTAGAATACCCCAGAGTGCCAAATAGCATCCTGTTAACAATGATGCAGATTGCGTCAATCGCTAAAGTGACACAAAAGAACAGATTTTTTCTTTAACACCTAAAAAAATAAATTATTTGACGTGTTTTAAATATCAGCGTGAATAATGCAATATGTTAGTGTTACTAATGGTCTATTATTAGATGCTCGATTTCAGTTTCTGATTGGATCGTCTAAAAATAGATGAGCATTGCATCATTCGCAAAGTGACAAAATAATAATCTAACCTTGGTTAATTTTTCTGGTTATTAAAACAAAACGTATTACATGGCCCTCAGCGGCCTATGTGAGCCTTTGGGGGCCGAAACCGAAATTTTTGTTAGCAGCCAAATTGCACGCCTGATTCAATTTAGTGAGCTACTGTAACGCCCCATCTTATCCATTGTTTTTCACACCGAACGTTAAAGAGCAGGGCGCCAAATCGCTTCCTGCCGGGGGCTGCCCATGCAAAATTAAATCCTCTCCCCCACGATCGGATGAACGGTGTCAAACCGCAATCGACATTTATTTTTATATACCATATATAGAGAAAAAAAATCGCGCCCTGCCGGGACCCACCCATGCGATTTTTAAAAAACGTTTTCATAGAAACTTCCCCAGAAATAATCTAAAAAAACTTCCCAAAGTTTCACGGCGATGTGATGAGAGTTATAGTAATGCATAAAAGACAAATAAACAAGCAAACAAACACACACAAATACAGTGCCTTTATATATAAATATGATCATTATATATTTTAAGACATTTAATTATTAATTTCTGACGTAATCAAATGGAAGCTTTTTCTAGCTAATCTGAAATAAATACTGAAGCTAAAATTTTGCTACTATCGACATACCTGCATCACTATACAGTGCCCTGATAGTAGTGTTATGTCACTCCGCGTCACACTTCGTCACACCGCGTCCCAAGGGTCATCGACAGATGATTGGAGCTTGGGACACCTAACACAAGAAACGGAATGGCTGCTATGTCGGACAGCAAGACTGTCAAACATGCGATGGAGACTGATGACAGTTGACCAGGTGATATGTCAGCTATTCCTGTCATTAGTTGCCTGTGTCTGTTTGCAAGGTGACTTAATTAGGGTGATGAGGAGTGCTAATTGCTTGATATTCCTTTCGTTCTAAATGTATGTGTTGGTGGGTACTGGCGAGCTAACAACCGCAAGTAGGTCCGTCATTAAAATAATTGGCTCCTTATTCTTATTTCTCATTTTGTCTGACATCCTTTTATAGGAATTTTTCCGTTTTTTTTCAAAATGTATTTGTGTATATGTATATGTGTATATGTATATGACGAATGGTGTCTGTCTAAGGGTGAGTGTTTGAGTAGGAGGGGGGTACTCATTTGGGGGTTATTGACCCAACACCACAAGAAAGATATGAAAATGTTTTTTTTTTTCAATATAGTAACATACGTTGTAATATGGTGACAAGCTTGTCCAGTCACCTTGTCCAGTCAACTTGTCCAGTCACCCTGTCCAGTCAACGTTGCAAAAAAATGCCTGAGGAAAACGGTTTGGTTGAGAAGGGGGGATTGGGTAAAAGAATTAAATACATCTAGAAGAAAAAAAAATTGAATAAATATATAAATGCGCATACACATACCTACAAGTATATATATATATATATATATATATATATATATATATATATATATATATATATATATATATATATATATATATATATATATATATATATATACATCATTAGGTGCCGCAGCGAGTGACACCCGATCTCGCTAAGCCACTGGGGATGGCAACTCGGGGTAAAGACATGGGCAAATAATATGTGTATAATAGTGCGGAAAATGAGTGCTTTATCCATTCATGTGTTTTATTTGAATCGGAAATAGTTTAAATTACTACTATTACTCAAAATTTGACAGAGAATTAGATCTTTTACTCACATAGGCAATTATCTATCTGAAACAGTACTCAAGTTATAGGCTTTTGAAGAAATGAAAGTATAATAAGTTCCATTTCCTGTTACCAGAAATCACTGAAAAGTTGAAACAAAACTACACATTTCATATTATACTTATATATGAAATTTCATCAACATAGCTGTAACGGTACTCAAGTTATCGTGTTCACAGACATACATACACACACACACATACATACACACACACAGACATACGGAAAGAGTTGCAAATCACAGTTCTTCCGCCTGATTACGCATAGAATGCCGAAATTTTGATAAATCTGCATATATAATTTTTTCTGATTAAAATAAGTCCCCTATACTCCTTATACGATGTAGTATTGAGGTGTAACACGATGAAAACTGTCAAAGTCGCATGTGATTTGTGTGCAGGATTACAATTCTTCCTCTATACTCTGTATAAGAGAGGGTAAATACTAGTAGATCAATAAAACATTAAGAAATAAATAATTAATACATAATAAATAAATAATAAATCAACAATTGTAAACAGTTAATAAACAACCATCATTTAATAAAATATAAATACGCAATCAAGAAAGTATCAATAAATTATTAACTATTAAGTAAAGCTATGAATATTTCAGCGGCAATCAATTTAAACTCTAACCCAGTTTATATTTTAATCTTGTTCCGAGTGAATCAAATCTTGGGCGTGTGCGCTGTTGACTCGGGCGCTTGTTGAGGAAACTGATTAAAGTTGTAAATCTCACCCTTTGGCACCTGGGATACACAGGAAGCGACAGGAACGATAACCTACTTCACCACTGTGGTAAATGTAGTATCGATAGCACCGACTGTGGCCGTGAAATGGTATTTTACACGAAATTTAAACCAAATTTCACGAGTGTTAGAATACATTGTTTTGTTAAAAAAATTGTAAATTCAAGAAGAATTTGATTGTTTTGTTACAGAGGGGTCGCAGTAACAAAACGGTCGTAACTTGGGGTCTTCGATACACTCGGCCTGACCCCTGTAGAGGTTGAGTCTCGTGACGTCACCCTCCACGGTCGTGACGTTGTCCCTGTGCTGGTTCAGCACGCCCTCGTAGACGGCGCTGTTGGGATGTGACGTCACTGTCACCTGGTACCGTCTGGTCTGCGGGGTTTCTGAGACCATCTCCATGACGGAAGTGACTTGAGACAACGTCAGCGTTTTACACAACGTCTTAAGTTTCTCTGGAATGTACTTGTTGACCCGAGCCATCAAGGCCAAGCCGAGATATTGTCCTAAACTAGAGCTCACGTTTGTTTTAGAAAAACTGTTGCAGACGCAGTACTCTAGTGGAATCAGCGCGTGCTGGCACGTGCGTCCTTCTGGAATCTCTTTGAACAAGCTGATCCTAGGTTGGGTGAGACTTCCTTTCCCGGTCTCTGCTTTAAAGTACAGCAGGTCAATCAAAGTCTCGTAGACGTCCGTGTGGGTCGTCAGACGATGTTGGTTGGTTTTCACAACTTCCATCAGCTGCGGGTATTTGGTATGGAACCAGGGCGGGAACACGAGAAACATGTAAGGCATTCGGCCTTCTAGCATTCCATTGTAAGTTGACCTATTCATGAATAAAGTAAAGGGTAACCAGTAAGTAAAACACTAATACTTTAACAATCGGATATTAAGATTGTATTAAGTTTAATTGCTCCACCACATTTAATGTCGAATGTCGGCGAGGTCAAATGTTAGAACGTACGAACACTAGCACGAAAGTCTCGAGTTTGAAAGGTAAATCACTACTCCCAGAGGTAAGTCACTACTCTCAGATGTAAGTCACTACTCCACCAGAGGTAAGTCTCTTCTCCACCAGAGGTAAGTCTCTTCTCCACCAGAGGTAAGTCACTACTCCCAGATGTAAGTCACTACACCACCAGAGGTAAGTTACTACTTCACCAGAGGTAAGTCTCTACTCCACCAGAGGTAAGTCACTACTTCACCAGAGTTAAGTCACTACTCCACCAGAGGTAAGCTACTACTCTACCAGAGGTAAGTCAATATAATTTTTTTAGTATTTTGTATTTAATATCTATATCTAAATTTATAATTATGTTAATTTTTCTAACATTTATCTCCCACTTAATTCCCCAAATTTTTCTAGGACACTTTAAAAATGTGTGTACCCCATTAGAGATGTTTTGACTACTTTAGAAGTACCTCTTGATATTTTTAATTTCCAGAGTTATCGCTCTTGTGTGTGCTGAAGTGACAAAAAGACCATGTGCTTTGTTAAGATTTACGTCACTTAAGCGTTCAAGTGCAAAGTAAACGTCGCAACTGATAACAGCGAAGTGTGACAGACGGTGCACGACAGACGGTGCATGACAGACGATACATGACAGACGTTGCACGACAGATGATGTACAACAGGCAATATGCGACAGACGTAGTACTACAGACGGTGTACGACAGACGTAGTATGCGACAGACGTAGTATGCGACAGACGTAGTACGACAGACGTAGAATGACAGACGTAGTACGACAGACGTAGTACGACAGACGTAGAACGACAGACGTAGTACAACAAACGTAGAATGACAGACGTAGAACGACAGATGTAGTACGACAGATAGAATTACTGATGTAGTACGACAGACGTAGTATGCGACAGACGTAGTATGCGACAGACGTAGTACGACAGACGTAGAATGACAGACGGTATAATTCCGAA